AATTAATTAATTTCACTGACCTTGGATGTTTTTAGGTTTCGAACAGTTCCTTGCTAGAACCTTGTTTTTGTGTTAGCTTTACGATAGATACTAATCTGAATCGTTTTGAAATCCTGACCGTGAAAATCTCCTCGGTTTCATTTACTCCTGCTTACCAGACAACCCACCATCCCAACAATATTGTGATAAAATAACGAACCTACAGGGCGGCACTACTAATTCTTCTGAATTCAAAAATTTAATCCGTTACAGTTTCTATATCTACTTTGTAAACATCATCTTTTAATACTCTTGACAACCATTAAAAATGTCACTTTTGATGACATTTGCACAAAAATTCTAAATATATGAACTGAATGATTCAAAAACACTTATTACTCCGCCACTTGGGAACCATGTGACATTTCTTGAAGGTCTCTATTCAGATGTGCCCCCAAGTAAAAATTGTCCAATAAGTAGCCGATCTCTGCTCTGTTTAAATACTGCTTCGGTTCTTCAGTTACTTTCCTGATGCTCTCTTTATGAAGTTTTCACCTAATAAGTCACCTGGCATATTTCACCAGTTATCATATTTCATATTGATCAAGGTTATACTGATCTGATCCTGTATCACATCCTGGATGGTAACAATACAGCTGATTCAGAATACGCATAAAAAATTGATGATTCAAGTTTAGCACACTCGTCAAATTCTTCATTGTATATGATTTTTGTGTCCTGTTACCTAGTATATATTAGTTTTGAAAATGGTGTAATAGCCGAAACCGGTCAACAATAAAGAAATATAGTGGAAAATAGACAAAAGTGTGTTTTGTAGTGTATCCTCAGTGAACATGAATTTCCACAAAATAAACAAGTCGTCAATCGAAGAAGTGGAACCTAGTATATAGTTTTCGTTTCCCAAGTAGTTCTAATCCAGTTTCAATATCGTTCTGGAGTACATCAATACACTCCAGCTGTATGTAAAATTATTCAAGTGCTTCTTTCTTTTCAATCGATATCACTTATGAATTCCTAAACTGCCTACATAGTGGTATATACTGGGAGGAAATAGAGAATAGAGTCCCACAGTGTCCTATTTTGGGACCTGTGGGACCTTCACACACGAGTTCAAAAATTGTATGAATCAAGGTCAGTGCTGTTTCCAATGAGCAGAACTCAAATTTATATTTCATTTTCAGAAGGAGATCTTTCTTCGGCAAACTTTCAACTGAATTCAGATATCGGATCCGTCGTTACCGTATGTTCCAAATTCTGTCTCTCCATCAATCCTTCTGAATCTATTACAATGTTGTTCGGCAGAAAAAAATCATGCAATCAATGCAATAACTCCTTGGACACCCATATCGAAGTAAATATCCTTGGTCTGCCCGACAACCCGAAAAATTCTTGGTTTCGTAGTGGATTCTTCTCTCAATTTCAATAGCCACACCAGTTTCATCATACAACGTACTTTCGCCGAATTGAAACTGATTTATTCAAATAGAAAAAAACTAGATAAAAAAGGTGAAATCATCTTGCGTGAGTTCCTTCCCATCTCAACTACGCCTACATGAAATTTAGCCCTGCAATTTTCAAAAGATACGGTAATCGGTTACAAATGGTTCAGAACTCATGTGTACGTTCAAGGTCTGAAAAGAGGTGATCTAGTCACCGGGCCGCTGAGGGAAATTGGTTGGCTCAATATTTACAGTAGATAAATTATTCATACCTGCACTCTGTTTCATAAGACTATACAAACAGAGGGGCCACCTTATCTTAATGAAAAAATAACCTTCCGGACGGACGTTCACCGCCTGAACGTACGATTCAGAGCTAGGATTACGCCTCCACTGCATACAACGAGTATGTTTCGATCGTCTGTCTCGTATGACATAACTAGGCTCTATAACAAAATCCCAAACGATTTGAAAAATATGTCCATTCCTTCCTTTGAATTGAAACTGAAAATATGTTTTCTCTCAGGTGGGTTATCACTGTGAATTTCTGTTAGTTGTGATCCGTAATTAGTAGTTTTGCTATGTCGAAATTTTAAGAACAATTGAAGTGTTCTGTAGTCTTCAATAACATGTAAATTTGCGTGTTTGCTTCATCTGTAATAGGTTATGTTGTCACATCCTAAATTACTTGGTTTATCGGTGCCACCCGATGCTAAATCTGCCTTTTGGAAGGTGATTTCCTCTGGCCCACTCGATATTTCAGTTTGCTTATACTGTTACGTTTTTCCCGTGGGTTGACCAATGATTGACTATATTAAATAATCAAACTCAACTTTGTTTCACTTTAAATACACGAATACTTCAACTAAAACTTCAACTATTATTTGAATGTCTATCGCCTTACTAGATGACTTCGCGTACCGCACTGTAACGGCCACTAGACTGTCTAGATATCTTCGTGGCTACCCTTGGGTAGAGTTACCTATCGGGCGAGTCCGGAGGTGACGGATAGGGGAACGGCCAGGGGGTTGGGAACACACATCTGTATCTGTAGAGTAGGGAGGGTGAGTGTGAGCCCACGCACTTAGGCCACATGTGACCCATTATACATCCTCCCGAGGAGTTGTCCTCCTAGGTCATCCTCGGAGACATCTCTTTATATCGGCAGGTGTAGGCCAAGATTCGCCGAACACACACTCTTTTATTGACGATAACTCCGGGCACTCGTACAGGATATGCCTGACAGTCTCATCTTCCTGTTCACACATCCTGCATAGAGGTGTGTCCACTAGCCCCATATTATGGAGATGTTTCCTTAGTTGACAGTGGCAAGTCAGAAATCCTACTGTAAGGCGTAGATTTTTCCTGGTCATCGCCAGATATTTCTTCGGCGCCAGCTTCTCAGGGTCGCCCAAGGTGATCATGGCAAGATTACATCCTTGATTTCATCTCATCTCTTTAAGGATTGAGCATGGGTGTAACATTGTCGAAGTCATCAGGCCGTGGGTGCTACTGGGTCCTGAAATTCTTGGCGCTTCCTTGGCTAAAGAGTCGAACACACATGATTGAAACAAATACAGAAATAGACACTGAAACAAAAACCAATCCCGAGGCTGGACAAAAAGGCTCACCCCAATCTATGACGGTGGTTGGGAATGAACAGAAATGTACACCTCAATCTGCAACTTGGAATAAGGCTGGACATAGCAGATCACCTCGTGATATGATACAAAGGCCAAGGTGTAAGCGCATTTGTGGCACCGAGGCCAAAAGGAGAGAGAGCGATAGAGGCAGGAGTGGCAGCAACTATAAAGGCACCCTCCTCCTCTCCCACTCGACCTTCAACAGCAAGGGCACTTCCTGCAGCGCCAAGAGCTCCGCCTTGAATGAAGGCAAGGAACCGGCTGCCCCTACAGGAAATCGCCCTTACTTGAGCACCTCCACGAAGGGAATTCCAAGAAGGTTGAGGAAGCCGCGCAACGACAGTAATGTCGCTGCACCTACTAAAACCTTCACGAAGGCCGCCGTGAGACACCTCAGGGTTGCCAAAGAGTGTGTTTGTTCGGCTAGTCTTAGCCTTCACCTGTCTATATAAAGGAGATGTCTCCTAGTGACCTGTCCATCTTCCTGGAAAGGACAAAATGGACGATGACCTAGGAGGACAACTCTTCGGGAGGATGTACCCTACTCTTCAGTCACACAGATCCTCGTGGCTAGCCTTTAAATATCGCAATCAAATGCCGTAGAAATTCCGCCGAAGTTTCGCCGAAGTCGGTAGTATTATTCTCGCTGCTTCTAGAGTGGTGTAGAATATTCCATCTCCAGTCCCACGTTCGGTTTTTGTACCATTTCTCTTAGCTGAAAATTCACGATACAGTTTTGAAAGCTTTCCGTCTCGGTGAGCATAGACCAAGGAAATTGAATGCACAGTACACAAGTCTCCGAAAATAAACTATTTGCCATTTGGATAAATACTCGTAATTTCAAAAAGGAATGCGTTGTTTCCCCCACTGCATGGCAGTGGGGGCCATAAAAAATATGCATGAATTAATTCCATTCCATTTCAAGCCTTTCTTAGAAAATAAAAATTTTATGTCATCGATGTCAACGATGACATCATGTGCGACCTCTCGAAAGTCTTCGTCTGTGGGTCTGTCTTACGGCATACAACTCCACAAGATGAATTTTTCTGCGGTACGGGGAATGCCTTCAAAATAAAAATAATTATGTCTCCAAAGTAGGTTCTAGTTTGTGATATTTGATGAAGACTTTATTGAATCTCAGTTAATAACTCATGGTATTTCCCAGGAAAGTCGTTTAGAACGATTATCATTCAATATATTTCAAGAACCCCACAAGGCATATTTGTTTTGCTAACGATGAATTTTTTTTCCATTCGCAGTTATGTTGACTTACAGTGGGCTCCAAAACCAAATCTCAAATTTGGTTCAGATTAACTCAAACATATTCTCAGTGGAACCCACACCTCAGCAACTTCTGATGTTTTATAAAGCTCAGATCAGACCTTCTCTGAAGTATTGTTTTCATGGAGTTCCACCCCAAAGCATACCCTAAAGCTGCTGGTTTCCATCAAGGAAAGAGCCATTCGCCTGATAAGAGACACGAATTGTCTCTCTTTTATAGATACTTTTACGGGAGGTGTTCAAATGACTTGGCATATTTGATTCCACCAAGAGCGGTACATATCAGAAATAGGTACGCGACGGACTGTGGCTGCACAAGATTTTGAGGTTCAACTCAGTACACCTCAAACTCCACTGTTCAAAAACTCTTTCATTTGGAGAACTGTGTTTATGGGGAATAAATTTCCTGGGAAGGTTTTTCCAAATAAATTTATTCTCCAGCGATTCAAATCTAACGTGTTTCACTAGTTTCGTAGAGACATCGCTCTTAGAGCGCCCCAAATATTTTTCTGTAGTGCTTGTGTTATGTATTAAAAAAAATTGAAACTTTTCTCATTGCTTCCATCATTTCCACACGAGTATTTTGAATCTACCAACTTTTAAGACAAACATAAGAGATGAAAATAAGTGAACTTACTTTTATCAGTCCAATCATGCTGCTGTTGTTCCTCTCCAGAGCACAAATACTGAATTTGACGTCAGTTGGGATGTCCAACCTATGCGAAAGTTGACGTTGAAAAGTTTGGTGACGGTCTGGTACTATCGGAAGAGTAGTCTGGCGTAAGACCTGTAGAAAATAGAATTATTACTATTAACTCAGTGATAACTTGTGCTCATGGTCCAAAGACAAGATATGGCGATACTATTCCATTTAATAATGTGTTGGATTTGTTGAAACAGTTGCAAATCATTGAAATGAGTTTTTGTTTCGGTATATGTAAGAAAACATTACCTTTGCTGAAAAGTCTTAGAAATGTAGAATAAAATTAGTTGAGTATTTGAATAGATGGAAGTTTTTTCATTCAATTCATCTAAATGCATATATCAGATATACTCGTAATATGAGGAAATATGTCTGAGTTCACTTTGTAACAGGGTCCAATCCAAATCAATAAGTGCATTAAAGTTATTGGCTAGTCGAAAATGGTCGCTAGTATTAATTACCAATCGAGGTATATTGAACATAGCTAGTGTTCGAATTCTATAAAGAGGTACATTGAATTTGATTGAAGCTAACAGTTCAGGATAATTTATCGTATTGTTGATAATGTTGTAGAAAAAAACAACATGTAAAGGGTAAGCTCATTCTCTAAAGATAACATTTCAAAGGCATTTCTTAAATTAGTTTTTCGTACTGTATTATAATCTGCTCCAGTGTAATATTTTCCAAAATACATGTATCCCAGAAATTTGTTTTGAATTCTTACAACCTTCTGAAGTATTGCCCGAGTTTCTCCTGACCATGTTGTTGAAGCAAATTCAAATCAAGGTCTAACCAGTGTATAGTTAAGTTTTATTTGTGAAGATTTCAGTTTGTCTTATCAGGTACCCCAACATACGATTCAGAAAAGTAATTATTCCTTGAATAAGATTTGCAAACGAGGAGACAATATTATTATTTAACACCTAGATCCTAGATCTTCGTAGCTCCATCTATTATATATTCGGTATCAATATGGGTTTTCATGCGTGATATAGTCTTCGTGAAACATTTTTTGATATTGAAAAATAATCTTTTTTTGCAGCTACATTTTTGCATCTATTGAAAAAATATATTCAATATATGTTTTTTCCGTTAACCAGCTATCGCACCTCTACGAACGACCACTCCAGAAGTCTAAACTTGTGCGAGCTGAGGACTAACGAGGTCTTACCTTTTAACGTGTGATTCCTAACACGGGTTGGACGATAACAAGTGGAAATCGAGCGTTCAGTCTGGGGCTTGAACCATCGACTCACACATCGGCCGATTGACTGAGTGAAGCACCAACGTCAATCCGCCCGACTACCGACCGATCTTCATTAAAAGCATTGTTTCAATGGGCATCTCTTTACTTCTGACACAGCATGAAACATCCGCTCTTTCAATTGTATATCTACTCAACTTTTGTTTTGATTACCATTCTAATGTTCATCTTCAATAAATGGTGGGGTTTCTCTAATGGGTAAAGACACCCCTGAAGAAGTTGTTGTATAGCGAAACATGTGTTGTGTTTTTGTAAAACTGTTTAGTGGAAATCTCACAACAAAGTGTTCCTCGTTAGTCCTCAGCTAGCACAAGCTTCTACTTTTGAGAGTTGTCGTTCGTAGGGAAGCAACAGCTGGTTAATGAAAAAACATATTTGATCAGAACAGGATATATTTTCTACTCATTTTACACTTCACATTATAACAAAACAATTCATACTTTTCAAAAAAAAACAAACAAAAAATAAATCAAATGTGAACCAAGTCAAATCAAAGTTTTGGTATTAGAACATACAAGTAGTTTTCAAAGCTGCTGATTTGAAAAGTAAGGAAGTGGAGTACAGAAACTATTTTGGCCAAACTAAATGAGCTTTTAGAACTCGTTTGAAAGAGTTCATGGTGTAAATCCTGTAATAAACACTGTTTGAAAGTATCAAGAACACGGAATGAAACTGGATGCTTTCTGAACTTTACTACAGCTATGAATGAAAGGACCATTATTTGTATGGGATTTGAAAGATAATTGAAATGAATATGTTTTGTTTCGAAATCAGGTGTCAGGTGTCAAGAAAGTACAAGTGTCAGAAATTCCAAAAAATAGTGTCCCTATTGAGAAAACATCGATGAGTCCCTACGGTTCTCTAAAATTTTGACATATTTCCTGATATCGAATGTTTCATTTTCTCTTAGCCGCTTTGTGTAGATATATACATATATACACAAATTATTATTTTCTAGTGCATTCAAAAAATAGCATTGGATTTTTTTATTTATATCCATATTCATTTCTCGAGAATAAAAATGGGAAGGCATTTACCAAGCATCTATCTATGTATTTATACTATCTATATCTAGACTAATATAAATGTGGAAGTTTCTAAGGATGTATGTATGTATGTATGTTTGTGGCTCTTTCACTCCTAAACAACTGAACGAATTCAGATGAAACTTCACACAAATACAGCTTATATATCATAATAATATATATGCTACAATTCACGAAAGTTTTGTAAAATTTTGATTATAATATATCCATGAGTATTAAGTAAGTTGGAAAAATTCTAGCTCGCTGAGAGCTATCTTGGCGTGCTACTGACAGTATAGGCAGCTACTGTTGGAGATTAATGCAGTTAATGTACCGTAACAAAATGGTTAAGACTTTCACGGCGGAGGTTTTCAGTGTCATTGCTTTTCGAGTTTGAAAGCCGTGGATTTTTTGATTTTTTTCCTGACGAGTACAGGTACAAATACAGATACAAATACAATGGATTACCTAACGAGGCATAAATACGCCTTACGTAGCCTAAAAGGTTGTTATCGGACATCAAGCCATGATGGTTAAACCTCTGAAGAAGCGAGCCACTCGCGCAAGCGAAACGTCAAGAAGAAATTTCAATAATCCACGGCTTTCAGATTCGAAAGGCAATGACACTGAATGTATCGTAATATATATCTGAATAAAAGTCCGCGATAGCATATATCTGATAATAATAATGATAATATGCGGTAGCCACTATATGCAAAATACTAGGTCATAAATACAATTGAATTGGATACTTTTTTCACAATTCACATTTTAGAATACCTGTCAAAATCCTATAAAAATACTAACACCAAGTAATTTGGACGAATAGTTTCAAAGTTATCACCTTGAGATTAACTTGACGCAACGCAGTAAGCCAATACTCATCGCGTCTACTGTAAGACGACGGGGGACAATATGCGGGGGTAGAGGGGCGGTCTAAGCAATGAAGCAGTTTTGCCGAGAACGCGACCCGAACGCGGGCAGACGCATTAGGGCAAACGTCGATGACGGTAGTGTTAGTTTTGCGAATTTTTAAAATAGATAACATAATTCAATTCTTGAATCTATTCATTACTCAGTGTAGTTTGCATATTTTTTTAGTTACTATATTTTTGAAGTAAAAATATGAATTACTAGCTGTTGTCCACTCTTATATTAACGCACAGCCAAAGCTACTGAATCTTGAAATATGCAGGTACGTTCTTTGTATAGCAAGAAATAGCGTAAAGAAAAGGAATTAGAAATTACCACTTCCAAGAGAGAAAAATAGAGGTTCAAAATTGTATTGAGTTTCGTCAGTTCTGAAGTAGGAAACTTGATGTTCTGGGATGATAAAAAAATATTGTAACTATTGGTTCAAAATGGACTATCACGAAACTTAATGTAACAAACCAAATTCTACGCGGGCGAAACCGAGAACCAACAACTTGTCATGAATAAATCATTATAAGTAGTTAAATGAGTGGAAGAATCACCTGATGGTGGTAAAATAATCTTCTATTATCGTCTCAAGGGGACGAGTAGAAAAATCCTTTATCTAACGAGCATCCGCAGGGGACTCATGTTCTCGTTTTTGTTTGAACTTTCCGGAAATGCTGTGTGGAAAGAAAAACGGAAACTTTGATCAGAGATTCGATGACTGCAGGCAATAGAAAAGGTATCTTCATTAGGGGAATATGTATTCGAATGTTGGTGCTTCAAACTTTTCAACAAATCGACAGAAAAAAACTTTTTGTACTGTCGAGTAGTTCTCTATTGGATATAGCCTATTATAATTGTCCAGCATACAAAATGGCTACAAAAATTAAATATATTTCTTCTCATGCCATAAACTTATAGACTTGACAAAAATTGTGAAATAAAACTTTTTGGAAAATGCATTTTAGCAAATTATGGTAACTCTAAATGGAAGTGAACTGATAATATAGTTCAGCAAAAATGTTTTCATCACAAGTTCCATTATGGAAAAATGAATAAACGACATAATAAATAAAAATACACTGTATTCAAGTGGAAAAATCTTTATTATATTCTTCACAGATTTTTCATGCATATGTTGATTATTTCTCAATTATTTATAATCTTCTCTTCATTTCAGAATAAATAGAGTTCCACAGTGTATTCGTCATATTCAATTTCATCTGTGAGAGAAATCAGCAAATTTAATATACAATTCCACTATAATGTTTCAATTTCATTTATATATTATTCAGAAAGTTACAATTTGAACATATGGAAAATGAATATAGTTTAGTCCACATATGCCATTTTAGATAATTTAAATTCGCCCCCATCGAAAATTATGTTTGAGGTGTGTGTCAACTAGTTTGAAATTTATGAACAACAACAAAGAGGGGTTTTCCAAATATTCAAAATTGAAAAATGATTCTTGAAAAGCAGAAAGTCAACCAAAGAAAAGTACGACCTCCCAAAACTTTCCTTTCTAGGCTTTAGGAAAGAACCTCGCTGGATAAATTCAATTTTCGATTTATTCATTAACAATAAGATATTGAAAATTGAACGCATTGATGAAACATCGAACCATCAAATATCTCAATTAGGTTGTTTTCTTATTGATGAAAGGTACCTTACTAAATTTTTCCTAATTTTCATATTTCTCTGAATTGGAGAAATTATTTTGAACGAAATTATTGTTAATGAGATATTTTCTTTTTTTTCGAACGCGAACCGAATGCGGGCAGACGCATGAGGGCAGACGTCTACTACGAAAATATAAGAAAGCTCATGAGTTTTGTTGAAAGCTTCCATTCTCTTTCATAAACAGGACAAAAAATTCTGCAGCAGTTACTACCTCAATGATTCAGAGTTGTTGTTATATTTTACTGTTTCTCGTGCTTTGATAGACCTTTACACTTTCTGAAAACAAATGATAAAATCAATTCTATTCGGTAGTTCTATAAAAAATGCTCGGTTCCCCAGGAAATAACATTCAAATTTCTCCATTTCGATGGAAAATAAAAGTTTCAAAATTGATCGTGATGGCACTTACCTACCTACCCCATTTCAACCGATGTTTCGGAATATATATGATTTTTGTAAAGCAACAAAAAGTACATGAATTGACGATATCACTATTCAATTGGTACTATTGAATCAAATATATCTGCAACAGAATTCCAAATATAAAGTCTTTGTTTTTTAATGTAAAATGCTTCCTATTTTCAAAACTAATTGAATTTACAATGTTGCATACATAGTCATAACAAGAGTACAGAAAAATCAAAATTGAAATGTGAATGGCTTTTTCTTTATTGATTAGTTCATATAACGTTACGACTATAGTTTTTATTCGATTTTAAAAAAACTAATGCCAAAAAAATTGTGGAGAAATCAAAACCAGATACTGTTTGTTATACATGTAACTTTCGTCTATCACCAAGCATCTAGTGAAAAATGTGATTAGGCGTAGGTATACTGAATAGCATACTATAAACGATGTATTATTCAATCATTTCTCATTAGAGAAACTCGTGCCATTGTTATTGACGCACACGTGCGTAATGCCTTTTCAATAAACCACACCTGAGAGTTTACTTTTCAATTATCTGACTCCTTCTGAACTAAAATTCCGCATCAAATAGAATTCTCTGGCATTGCAACCCCTGGCTTTTGGAAGCGATATGACAAATCATTAATTGGGTCGTTATTGATTGCTGAACTCAATTGTCATTAGTTTTGCCGGAAATCTACGGTTGAGCAACTGTTACGTTGATTATCTGTAGAAATCGAGTGATCTGGATCGAAAATTCCAAGTTAAACGAAGGAATTTTCAGACCAGTGCCCTGATTCTTCTACTATTTTTCTGTCGGGACTGGAGCTGGTTGAGATTAAAATTTTAAACAAGACTCAACAAAGGGTTTTTAGTGTGATAAACTCATTTCTATCAACGGGGTATTCGCATTTCAACTACTGGTTATTTGGTTATTACTGAAACATCTCATCTATTATGCATGTTCTATGAATACGAAGGGAGGATTATTGAAAAAATTTCAATGAGAAATTGATCAAAATATGGATAAAACATATTTCGAAGGAAAACATTCTGGAATAACCTCAGTGTATTCAGCCTTTCTTCGATATACTGGGTGAACTGATGGAAAGAAATGGTATTGCTATCCAACGTGGTAATGCTGCTTTGGCCCTTGGAACTATTCCCCCTTCACATAATTTTGATGAGATCATGCATTGCCCTCATTCCAGTACGAAACTAAAATCTCTTCGAAACAAGCCAAGATATGGATTATATTCATCAATCTCCTGTCAAGGTTGATTCGCAAGTGATTGATCCACCTTCTCCTTTTTCAGTGCGGTAAATGGACTTAGGTCATTCTTGTCCCCCAAATATGAGCTGCAGTCCTCGTGGTTATGGTTACCTTTCAGTGGAAGACCTTCATGAAGCAAGAGCCAAGTCGATTCCTCTACGAAACCCTTCATCATTTGAAAGAATCGATTGCAGCTTGACAAATGGTTCTGATACACATTCTGTGAAACATATTCTTCCTTACGAATCAGTAAACAGTTGTCTGAAAATATCCAGAAGAAAATTGAATTTGATAATTTAGGAAACACTCGCTACATGAATAGCATTTTACAACTGTTGTTCATGACGAAAAATTTCAAGAACGAAGTTTTAACGATGAACAAGAACGAGAATGTTTTCTATTTATTCACCAAACTCGAACAATTGTGTATGTAGTTGCAGTTTAGTAAGAATGTATCATCTTTGTCTTTGAAGTTCACTAGATACTCGTTAGGATAACAAGAGGATTGCTCCGAATTCTTGGGGTTCTTGTTGAATACTCTTCGTGAGAAAAAACTAGCAGAATCAATACTCCTTACTGCTCTGGATTGGATGATTCCGTACAGTCTATCTCGTCTCGTGTTTGTAGATTTTTTGCTGGAAAAATCCCCACTTGTTTACTTTGTAGTGAATGTTCAAGAGGTGATAGCAAAAACGTATGTAATTTTATGGAACTTCAACTAGCGTTTCCTAATATGACTGATAACCAGTCCGTGTAGAGCTTATTGTTAACTCATCTGGAAATGGAACTTTCAACGGGTAGTGATCAACTGTATCGCCAAAAATGAGCCAAGCTAACTATTATGAGACAACAAGTGAAGCTGAGACACCAATCAATCTAATAATAACACAGATGATCTTCAAACATGCCTCAACCTCTGACGGAAGCACCAAACTCTCACGAGGGTGCGAAATAGATGAACACTTCAATCTAGCAGACCACTATTATAATCTTCATGCAGTCATTGTTCACTATGGTTCTGGCGTTGAGTCTGGTCATTATTATGCATTGGTTCCACAAGTGACTGGATTCAAATAAATGTTCAGATTATTGGAGTCCTTGGTGAAATTATTGATATGTGTATGAAACATATGTAAAGTGAGTTCATCATGACTTTCCTAAGAGACTCAAGATCGGAAACATATTTCTGATGAGACTATCAATCTTCAATCATTGAATAATAGTATTTTGAATGAACATCGGATCATATATCTTTCAATAACTGGAGTTTTAAGTGTCCCAGCGTGTGAAAAAACTCAGTTGTACTCAGACTAGAATCCTGGAATCGTGAAATAAACGTTGTGATCTGATTTGGCACATAATATGTACCTTGCATTCGGTTCAGCTGTACTGTATTGTAATGTTATCCACTATATTGTACTGTGTTAGGAATCACACGTTAAAAGATTCGACTTCTGAGGGTTGTCGTTCGTAGGGGTGCGACAGCTGGTTAACGCAAAAACATATTTTAAACAGACATATACTTCAGTGAATCATTATAGTTTCTTACCTTTTTAGCTACGATGTCCTTGATTTCCTGTACATAGGTAGGCTTCACCTGCTCTTGCAGATCGGGCAACGAATTGCTGATCTGGATGTTGGTTTGTTGTTTATTGGAGAAGTCGTCTTCGCAGCCGATGTTCTTGCTACAAGTTCGATCGCGTAGCCAGCGCCACGTGGCGGCGCACTGGAAACTCAGGGCAGCTACTACAACTAATGTCATTGTAGTTAAGACCAAAAAACCGCTTACAAGGAAATTTATACCTGTTAGCCAGTCGGAGTCGTCTGAAACGAAAAAAAGGGAGTGAGTGATTTGTTCGATCAAGATTAAACTTTATTGACATGCATCAAAATGATATGTAGGGTATGCCTGAAGTCATCCTCTTCGGAAAATTATGAACCGGAAATTATTAATCTACATTGATATCGTATTTTAAAATGAAATTTCCATTCATTACCATATGTCACCCAACATCAGCAGTGATACTAGCCAGAAAAGTAGATTCTGCCAGAAGGCAATTGTCGGATATTACTGTTCGAAAATATTGATTTTGACTGAATGTTTTCTTTCTAGATACGGTCATCAGATCGATCTGATTGTTTCTGTCAATGAACTCTCATTATATACATGGCTTTTCATAATGAGCGTTAATTAGCCGTTTCTAGCAAACTATTCAACGATTCAACCTGAAAATTCCACAGTATGCATAAGTCAATATGACCTACACGCCTAAAATATTTTAGATGAAGCGGCGTTGTCGCTTCTACTATAAAGTAGCGGCTTCTTTGATTTTTAAAATTTAACACCCCGTATATAATATCATATTATGATTGATTATCACTTTTTCAACGAATTCATATACTAATTCCCTATACCTATCTATTACCGTTTAGAAGATATTAAATTAATTTCGATATTTTTTTACCAAACATGAACTTTTATAAATGCTGATAATCTTGAACTCTCTTGCAGTGAAACGATCAAATTTGAAATGAAGTGGAGTGATACTATGAGGATCTTCACTCCAAGTCATATTTTCATTTGTCTCATTCAGGGTCTTCAAAAAATGCAGATACTTTGAACTCATGAAAACATGAGTGGAACTCAATTTTTTCAAACGGAACACCCTATATATTTCAACATTTTTGAGCTCTACATCCAATTTTAGATTAACTTTGTTCAGATAATACTATTTCTATTTTGAACCGTTTTCGAGATGAACTGTTTCAAACGGAAATTGACATGGTTTCCTTGTCACACTCATTTTTCTAAAACAGATTTCGTTTGATCTTTCTCAATTAGTCACAGATAATACAATAAAAAGATTATTATTAAAATACTCCTCAACCATCTAATAAAACTTCTCTTCGAACAATAGTTTTATTAACGCTGAAACACGAACTGAAAATAATAAACCCATAAATTAATAAGTTAATTTAATCGTCAATGTATTTCAGAATATGTTCAAATACATCTCCACCTCTACTTAAACAAACATGTAATCTCTTCAAAATATTGTCATGTGTAGCGCTTCTGATCAAGTCTGGAGTCAAACTATTGAAAGCAGTTGTAACTCTCGATTACATATCTTCCATTGTTGTTATTGGAGTAGAGTAAACCATATTTAGTAGCTATCACAATCAGTCAAAACCACCAACGAAAGTCTGACGTTAAATAATTGGTTTATTTATTTTTCCAAAGCACACTATTAAAAAATAATAATATGTACTGTTGTACGTTAGAGACCAATACCTCAATGTATACAAATTGTAACTTTTCCTAAGGTAGGTACATACCAATTTCGAATTGACTGATCTGAGACAGTTAAAAAACTGGATCAAAAAGAAATATTACTAAGTATAGAAAAAAATGTTGAATATCCAAAATAAGTGATGAATTCAAAAAAACGAGCAAGAAAACCACGTCAGTTTCCGTTTGAAACAGTTTATCTCGAAAATGGTTCAAAATAGAACTAGTATTATCTGAACAAAGTTGATCTAAAATTGGATGTAGAGCTCAAAAATGTTGAAATATATAGGGTGTTCCGTTTGAAAAAATTTAGTTCCACTCATTTTTTCATGAGATCAAAGTATCTGCAGTTTTTGAAGACCCTGTATGAGGCAAATGAAAATATGACTCGGAGTGAAGATCCTCATAGTATCATTCCACTCCATTTCAAATTTGATGGTTTTAGATCAAGAGAGTTCAAGATTATCAGCATTTATAAAAGTTTATGTTTGGTAAAAAAAGTATCGAAATTAATTTATATCTTCTAAACGGTAATAGATAGGTATAGGGAAATAGTATATAAATTTGTTGACAAAGTGATAATGAATCATAATATGCTATTATATACGGGGTGTTCCATTTGAAAAATCAAAGAAGCCGCTACTTTATAGTAGAAGCGACAACGCCACTTCGTCTAAAATATTTTAGGCGTGTAGGTCATATTGACTTATGCATATTGTGTAATTTTCAGGTTGATCCGTTGAATAGTTTGCCAGAAACGGCTAATTAACGCTCATCATGAAAAGCCCTGTATATATATTGGTTCATCCATTTATGACTTTTATTCGTTTTTTCAATGAGATAATTACTGACCTGCTATGAGATTCAATTTTGAGCATCGTGTCACTCCTTTCCTCTTGTCTATGAATCTATAATTATACAAAATACAGTAGATACGATTTAAATTTAGATATGTAACTTCCAAACCTAATATGAAACCCTATGAGTCCAGAGGAGCTGATATCAGTTTTCATTCTCTGATGTTATCAATTTTGGAACGAAAAAAGCCTAATTTTCATGAGCAATAGATAACAAAAAATTGAGTGATAGTAGAAACTAAAAATGAAACATCATTGTTATAATTTTTGTGACTGATACCTGTAACTCACGTGGTCAGTTTCCTTTCAGTTACTTTCGATTACTTGTACCTGGTTATCGCCTTCCTTTCTTTGGGCGTTTTTTATTGTGTTCAATTTGTAATCAGTTACGCCAAAATGGAAAAACTATTAACTGAAACATTTTTCTAAAACTCACACAAGAAATATAGAACGACCTATTATTTGTTTTCTTGATCATCTTCCAATTATATATTATTGGCTTTTTTCTGTTAACTTGCATAAGTATATAGATGAAAAGACTCTTAAAAAGTCCAATGAATCATTTTAAATGATTCATTGGATTTATGAAAAAATCATAAAAATAAATTCAACACCTATTGCAGCCTTTTTGAGGACGCAAAATCAGTGCTCCGAAAGAGATTTCATTTTCAGCGGACATATCGAAGCGTATCACGTTTTCTGTTCGATAGAAACCTAATACCGAAATAGACCCTCATTGTCAGTGCAACTGCGTAAATTGGAAGGTTATTACATGTCTCGAAAATCTCAAAGACTTCCATCGAGTCGCATGTGTGGAAACCAGAAGGTTCCATCACGTTCGGAAGCTGGTTGCCATAGTTTTTTGTGATTGTGTTCATTATGATATACGAGATAATCAGATTTTTCTTTGACAAGATTGGGGGAGTTGATGGAGAGTCGGCAGAGAAGTGGAAAAAAGGTGATGTCTATGAATTTATGGAAGGGTAATTTGAATTGTTCCGAATTGATTTGGTAAATATCAAAAATATGTGTGAATATTCGACTCTAATCTTTAACGCAAGTGTCGATTGCCTACTTCTCAAATTGCTCCATGAAGAAGTTGACTATCACCGGGCTAAATGAACTTGCCATCGCTACTCCGTCTAATTGCTCGTAGAAATCTCCTTTCCATTGGAAGTAACTTCTTGTGAGACAGGCTTTGAAGAGTCCGACAATATCGCTAGGAAACAGGTTAGCTATCTCTCTCAAGGAATCTTTCAGCGAAACGTTGCTGAACAAGGTCACTTGGCTTCAAGTTTATATCCTTAATTTTTCCCACAAAGTCTTTCGAATCCTTGACGTACGTGGTTGTTTTTCTAACACGAGGCTGAAGGAGCGATGTTAGGTGTTTTGATAAATAGTACGTAGGCAAACCTGATGTGTTTCAATGAAACTTCTTTTTTTTGTATCTTTGGCAGACCGTAGATCCACCACACTCACCAGATCTCTCTTCAAGCGACAACCAACTTTTCAATCACTGCGGTAACTTTCTCACCAGTAGAAACTTCGCAAATCAGGACCAGGCAAATACGTCCTTCGTCGAATTCATCGAATACTGAGCACACAATTTCCATGCTGACGGAAATTATCGACTCTTGAAGATGATCACTTGGTGATCGGAACACGTGTCGAGTTGTTGAAAATAACGGTTTTGTGTTGGGATAAAACTCCAGTAATATTCTTCAGTGTAACGTTGGCAAAAGAGCACTGATTCAAATTGCGAATATTTCGATTCGATTGAATGTCAATTGTAGTCTTATAGTATGCCCAGTAACTATATGTGAAGTTCTTTTCCTTATTAGAGAAATTGGGCAAATTTCGGGTATGCGGTTGGTTACCATGTTCACAGGCAGATGGGGCGATGACAAATCTGTTGTTTGTTGTCCGCTTGATGATAGACATTACCTTGCAATGACGAGAGGCCAAACAGCCTGAAACCGGTCTACAAGTGTGTTCCAATAATTGAAAATTTATTGCGGTAGTTGTATCGCCAACAGCACATGCAGGAATAACTTCAGTAAAGAATCCTGCACTGACACCTGTCGGATATAATCCAACGCCTTTCGTGGCATTAGCCAGGGGAGTAGGAACAAATTATTTCTATAGATGATTTGATTTATACCCAGTCTTCAGGTATGCCCATTGACTATATGTGAAACGAATTGAAATTTTGAAATAACCTGATAATTCATCGGAGTAAAGTATTTTTCATTCTCCAACTGTGTGGAAGTCTCCATTACAATTATTGATCTTCTTCAGCTCATAGACGGTGAAAAATCCCCAGAAAGATCAATGAAAACCTCTGAATTATTTCACAAAGAATCACTTTTGTACGAAATTTTTGTTTCAATTGAAAACTGCTCTCTGGATTTCTCCTGTTATATAAAAATATTTGTTCCGCAGATTACTCCAGAGCACGACACTGTGAAATTTTATTGTATAAATACTCGCAGACGATATTCAACTTGAATATGAATCGCCTTCGGAAATCTGCGCCAAAAATAAAATGAGTTAATAATACTTCTAGGAAGAAGTCGAGCGTAACATTTCTGACTTCATTATGTAAAACTGGAGTTGAAGGGAAGAAAAATAGAATAAAAATTTCTAAAGTGGGAAACTGGATTAAAAAATCAATGAAA